CCTTAGCTGTTTCAGATCCTGGGAGACTGCTGATACCATGCTGCTGTTCGTGGGGTTTCACCACAATCTCTGTCTTCTACCAGTGCTATCTCTTAAAGACACCTTTGGACTTCTGAGCACCAAAAGAAACAGTATCAGTGAGAAGTCTGTTTGCTGACTGTGGTTCATATCAAACCATATTCTTAATGGCTCCTGGAAGGGTTCAGGGCAGTGAGCCCCAAACTGCAGGAGCATCACTTTGTCTGTGCTGGGATTTGTTTGCAGGAGGGGAAGGAAGTACCAGCTGCAGGACCAGAGTTTGTAATTCACCTCGCTGCCCCAGCTGGAGTGGGGAGAGTTTAGACCCCTCTTCTCAGACTTGCTCCCAGAAACAGTATTTGCTGATATTGGCTTATTGACCATTTGAAACCTAAGAGGATGTTTTTCATAATGGGGAAAGAGCCAAATACCTTAGCACAGAAATATTCCAGCTTTAAGAATTAATTACTGCTTCCCAGTAATGCAGGTTGACTATTAAATAACCTTGCACAATTTCCTGGACAGATCCATTTTAATGGCAATATTGTGCACAGATCAAGAGCAAAATACAGTTCCCTGAACCATGGCACTGCAAGCCCAGGGAACGTGGGCAGATGCCTTTGTCTGAGCACTTATCCAGCAAAGCCCAGAGGACAAAGTAGGGGGCTAAAGCAGCCACCTATACATAGCAGCTCACACCATGAGGGCCTCTGGGTGAGGGTTTCTCCTATGGATGGCTATTTTCAGTCCAGGAAGGAAAGCATGGATAGTAAACAATCGAATGCATTTTTAGAAAACCACATCTGTAACATGTATGGAGCTCTATAATCATTATGCAAACTTTCCTACCTAGTTTTTCAGTTGTAAATCGAGTGTCATAGGCCAGTGAAATGGATGTTCGATTTCTATATACTAATTTTGCTTTTAGTAGTGTGGGAAGATAGTATATAACTGGTTATGCTCCACAATGTACACTGGTGTAACAAGTCACAATACGTATTTATGCTTCTTTCAGTCAAGAGCATCGAGCAATGAATGGAGTAAGAAAATCTCATAAACCAATTATCGGAAAACCATTATCAGTAAACAGGCATTCCTTTCTCCTTTTTAGATATGTGGAAAGAACAGAGCAGTGGAAGAGCAAATCTGAGAATCAGTGGTGTTTTCTGGACGTCTGAATTGTCACTAATTGCCCCAAATCCAAGCTAAGCTGCAGGTTGTGAGCCATGTTCTAACTCATAATAAGCTTTTCAGGGACATCACTTTGGAGGTTTCTCAGGAAGACAGCCCTTTGGAGAACTGCATGGTACTTCGGTGCAGTGATGCATCGACAGCATCACCCCAGGAGATATCACTTCTAGAAGGACAGCTGGGTTCAGATCCTGGCTTTAGGAGCAACTGAAAAGATCTTGTTGCCTCACTGGTGTGAATAGCCCACAATCATGTGTGGAGGGCAACAAGTGCCGCAGAAGGTCAGCTTTCCCTAAAGGACTTTATTCTGAACCTATTCAGACCTTCCTAAATAAAGAGCAGCTTCACCAAAAGCTATTGAAGTCCCCCAGGACTAAAATTGGTTTTAGGAGGTCCAGGCATGGAATACAGATTTGTTTCTAGTAGTCCATTCATCCGAGCCTCGACCACTTTTGCGCCTTGTCTGAAGCCAGAACCCAGCTCTTGCTCACAATATGAACGTGGTCCTTGTCCACAGTTTGTCTTGTCCACGGTCCTTGATCTGAACAAACCACAGAAATACAGCATGGACCTGCAGCACTGACCATGGCATGTGCTGATAGCCTGCATCCTGCCAGGAGGCAGCGAGGAAGCAGCCCAGGTCCAGACTGCTTGAGCGGGGCAGAAAGCAAGGAGACTTCTGTAAAGGCTTTGGAAGAAAATATCCCTGTCTCTGCAGCTCCTGAAGCATATGGAGCAGGTTGATGGCAGCAGCTATTTTAAAATTCATAAAGCCTTAAAGCATTACTGGATTATTTCAGTGCTGGGAGATAACTGGACAAAATAGCCCAAGAGGAGGGAGATGCTGATGTAGTAGCAGCCATAATAGTGCATGATGCTGCACGCATCCCTGCTTCTGAAAACCCACTCATCTATCTTGTCAGGGGAAATTGCTATGACCCTGTTTCGTAGCGGAGGTGGTGGGAGGAAGGAGGCAGATGAATATTTTCCTCTGATCAAGGAGAAAGGCCAAGCCGTGCCTCACTTACCCTCCTGAAGCCGCCCTGGCCCCCGGGTGAAAGGCTTAGAGAGTAGTGATGCCAGTTATTCAGGAGGGAGGGTGCAAGTGGCTGTGGTCCAAGAGAAACAAGGCTTTGGAGCTCTTCTGTTAGCACGTGAGAGAAGTTTTTCCCTCCGTGCCCTTCTTTGTCTGCTTGCCTAGGACTGAAGAAAATGCCAGGGCAAAACAAGCTGGGAGCCAGCAGGCTCCTCCTGTGCTTTGCCTGTCAGCTCAGGGTCACACAGGCTGCAGGTAAATTTGCTGGGACAAATTCCGACAGCTTAAATGTCTAATTTGTCCATCTCTACTCAAAAGCGTTATCCAGAATGCCCCAGCTCAGCTGCTGGTTTAGACTGGAGGCAGGTCAGAGCAGCCCTCCCTCCCTGCCATGGGCCTGCTTTAGCCAGTGAGATTCCCCATTACATCCCGAGGGGCCTCATCCTGCTCCCGGCACACAGCTAAACCAGCCCATCAGCATGGGGATGGGAGTGTTTGCACCTCCACCTGAAGGTGGGTGCCTGCAAAACAAGGTGTGTTTTTAGGTTCTTCCCATTGGAAAGAGATGGGGAAAATGACCGTATGTACCCTTCCACTCCTCCTGCCCATCTCTCCCCATAGTGTGCCCAGCAGCCTCCTGCCCAAACTCTCCCCCTGTACCACCACACAGCTGGGACAGCTGCCAGTGGCTTTTAAAGGCTCACAATGGGGGAGTGGGAGGCACCAGAGGTTGGTGCTTGTTGCTTTTTTTTACCTGGCCTTTGATGACCATGGTGAGATGCAGAGAGGTCCAGTACATGTCACCTGCCCTTTTAGCATATTTTGTGCCCACGTATGACCTGGATACCTTTAGCAACTTGCTCAGTGAAAATCTGCACTGGATGTATGAGCAGGAAATCAAGCTTTATAATTTCCAAAGGCAAAAGCTACATTTAAAAAAATTACCAAACCATATCTTAGTGGTAATTCCTCTTGGAAACAAACTGTTATCCTTTATTTCAAGATGGTGAGATGCTGCATAAATATCCCACTTGTGGTTTTTCAAACTCCCCTTCAAATCTCCCCATGAACATGTGGTGAGTTTGAGTCTGCCAGAGACTTGCTCATTTTCATCAACCCCATCCCGCTGCTCCCCTCAGAGTCCTGGGCTGGCAAAGCAACTGTCATGGTGAAGAAATATTTAATATGTGCTTTAAACAGTACTTTATTCATCTAGGCTGTCACCATGCTTTTGCATTTCCATCAATCCAAGAGTTTTGGACCCAGTTTGCAGTCCCAGTTTCAGTCTGGTCCTGCAGGTCTGGAGCAGCCTCCTTTCAGCTCTCCCGCTCCATTTGGTAGGGCAGCAACAAACCTCTCACCTTCAGAGAGGAGATATTCAGGTAACATGCCTGGACTGATGCTGTGCACATGGCCCTGGATGGGGAATAGTGCTGCTGGCATCTCACAACCCCTACCCAGCACTAAAATGGGCCTTTGATGCTTCCTTGCAGAGTGTCATCTTGTTCAGTCACCCTTCCCATGATTACCACCATCATGAAGACTTTCACCTGCAGATCAGGAGTGGAGGTGTCCGAGTTCCAAGTCCCAGGAGTCAGAAACAACAGATACTGCCCACTAACGCAGCAGTTGCCTGCCTTCCCTAACAAAGGTAAGAAGAAAAGGGTCTTTGGACTTAACCTATGAAAATAAAATAATAAAACCAAAAAAATCTTACTGGAGTTGTATGTGAGCAGGGACAGCAAGCATCCTCCTGAACAGATTACTCCACTTCCACACCTACTCAGCATGGAGCAGAGTTTTATTTTTTACCAATACAACGCACGTACTTCAGAGGCATATTTGAAGTGAAAAACCTATGTTCCATGCTTAGATATCCATCAAACAGTTAATAAAAACCATTCTAGTATGGTGTAGAGCTTATGTGAAATAAGAGTGGAAAGTTAAACCTGTTTCCAATGGCTACAAAATTACCCCGGGGAAGATAAAGATGTGATTCCTTTTAAACGTAGCTATTTTCTGCTAAGGGAACTTACGCATCAGTCCTTCCTATCACACATCTCCAGAGAAAGGAACAGCCATCCCACACATTCCTCTGCTGCGGATTGCTCAGCACTTTGTCCCACGGTAATCTGTAGGAGAAACTCAACCGTCCTTTTAAATGCTTTGGGCTCAAAAGATTAATTCTGCAGGAAAGATCTCTAAAGCACATAAAAAGTTGAAACTCATTCCTAACAGCTTATCATCATTCAGGTGCTTAGAAGTGCCAGCAAACCAGCAGTCATTGAGGGAGGAAAGCAATCCTATTATAGTCAGAATGCTTACAGACAGTTTCATATTTTCACGTTTAATAAAGCTTGTTCTTTTTCTCTCCATAAAAAAGCTTTCCAATAATTTTATAAAGGCAGGTAAGTGTTACACCATCATCATTCCCATTTTACAAACAGGAAACTGAGGCCCAAAAAAGTCATTTGAGCAGAATAAAACAGCAAATCCCAGCCCCAAACAGAAATAGAATCAAAACCTTCTGGCAAAAATCTCCTTCTCCAAATATCTCTATTTAGTTGCTATGCAGCTTTTTTGTTGTTGTTGTAAAAATAACCCAACCAGTCAAACAAGAGAGGATGGCAAGGAAATCTCAAGCTCTGACATACTGACTTCCATACTGCTGGCATTAGTACAAAAATAAATATTTTTATTAACTAGTTTACAAAAATAAAGTCTATTGAGTCACACAGGATCTCATCAGGGGGGTTTACTTGACTTTGGAAGACAAAGCCTGTTTGAAACGTCTCTTTAGATCTTGCATGTTAGGAGATCTGGGGCGAGGGATGATGGATGACCGCCTTCGGTCTGTGCTGCCGGCGTGCTGTAGTTTGCTGACCTCCTTGCAAAGATACTGGAAAACATCACAGACGCCTTGGGAGTCGTCACTCGTGGAGATTTCCAAGAACAGGATGCCCAGTTCATGTGCCAGCTGTAGCCCCTCTTTCGCCTGCACTTGCCTGGCATAGAGGAGGTCTGCTTTGTTCCCCACGATAATGACAGGAGTCCTGGCATCCGGGTGGACCTTGCGTACCTGCTGGTAGAGAGGTCGCACTGACTGGTAGCTGCTGTAGTCGGTGATGGAGTAGACCAGGAGGAAGCCCTCTGCCCACTTCACGCACCTGGACAGGGAGTCCAGCACCTGCACGCAGTCCTCGGGCACCTGCGGTACAACACACGGCACAGAGTTGGCATCGGGTCGGGAAGGCGTAAAGCCTGTGCCCTGGGCAGCACCGTTAGACGGGCCCGAAGGGAAGCCTGAGCTCTGCCTCGGCGGGCTG